TTACTCGCCAGGCTAGTTTTTTTGTATTTTTAGCTAGAGACGGGGTTTCACCGCCGGGTGTACCAGGGATTGGTCTCGATTCCTAACCTCGTTGATCCGGCCCGTCATCGGCCGTCCACACATGCCCTGGATTACAGGCCTGAGCCGATCACGCCCCCGCGCAAGATTTCCTTAAATCAGAATTACAAAAAAGCGCGCCGTAGAATACGAAAGGAGAAAAAATTGATTAACTTGGATTCTTCACTCAAAAGACACCGTCTTAGTCTCTTCAGGCGTGCCAATAACACAATGCTGTAGACTGGTGGCCTTAAACCAAGAGAAATGTATTTTTCTCACAGTTCCGGAAACTGGAAAGTTTGACCAGGGGTGCCGGTATGGACTGTGTTTTTGCGTGGAACCACTGTGTTTGTGGCTTGACAGCAGGGGCTGTCTTGTTCGTGTGTCTGTGGCGGCAGATAGACGCAAATCTTCCACCATCTCTCTTCCTTTCTTTATAAAGCCACAGTCCTGTCAGATTAGGGCCGCTGGTCGCTGTGTGACACTAATTTAACCTCAATTACCTCCTAAAGTCCGCTGCAAAATAGTTGGCGGTGGAGGGAAGCGCCTCAACTAAATAAATTGGCTGTGGGGCAGTGGGGAGATGCGCACATTTCACTCCATACTCGTGTAGACGGCCCAACTCCGAGGGAGACAAGAAGAAGAGAGGGAGAAGGTATTTGAAATCACATATATTCCTGACCACCGGCCATTACAGCCATTATCCCACAGATTTTATTAGGGAGCTGGCAGCAGTCTGTGTCCAACATCCGCCCGGATCACACCTGTCTCACTCCACCAGCGGCGCGCACATGTACACCAAGCATACAATCAGGAGTAGGCCAGGAGAATGCGTGAACCTGGGAATGGAGCTTTCGCAGTGAGCCGAGATCGCGCCACATTGCACTCACCTGGGGCGACAGAGCAACGATCTCCTGTTCTCAAAAAGAAAAAAGAAATACATGTATTTGACAAGGACTTGTACCTGGAATATATAAAGAACTACAAATCAAGAATAAAAAGAAAGGACAGAAAGCCAATGGAAAAATGAACAAAGGATTCAAACAGGCATTTCACAAAGAACTTACCTATAACATATGTTAAATGCTCAACCTCATTAGTCATCAGATAAACACAAGTTAAAACCTCAGGGAAATGTTATTCCACACCCACCAGAAAGTTAAATTAAGAACACATTGTCATGACAATTCTGGGTTTGATTTTGTTTTGTTTTGTTTTTTTGAGATGGAGTCTTGGTCTGTTGCCCAGGCTGGAGTGTAGTGGTGCGATCCTGGCTCACTGCAACCTCTGCCTTCTGAGTTCAAGTGATTCTCCTGCCTCAGCCTCCCGAATAGGTGGGATTATGGGCACCTGCCACCACGCCCAGCTAATTTTTGTATTTTAGTAGAGATGGGGTTTTGCCATGTTGGCCAGGCTGGTCTCGAACTCCTGATCTCAAGCGATCCACCTGCCTCAACCTCCCAAAGTGCTGGGACTACAGGTGTAAGCCTCCGCGCCTGGCCTGTCATGGCAATTCTAAGTGGTGATGAGGATGTGCAGCAGCTGGAGCTGATGAAAATACATGAGCACAACCTCTTTGGAAAACTAAAAGGATTCCCTAAAACTGAGAGTAGGCAGGATGCCGTGACCCAGCACTTATACTCCTGGGGGTGGGAGGAGTGAATATATTTCTATTCATGATTTCTATCTCTGATGACAGAAATTAAGCTAGTGGGTATCTGCGGTTGAGTAGAAGGATAATGACTAGGAGCGGGCAGTATGGGATGCGGGTAACGTCCTCTTCACCTAACTGCTGGTTACCCTGGGTGTGTTCACTTTGTAGAAATTTATTGAGCCAAACACATACAATGTATGCACTTTTCTGTATATATGTTTTTCTTCAATAAAAACTTGATTTAAATAATGTTCTTTTTCTTAAACTGGGTAGCAGGTTTATGGTGTTTTATGTGTTACCTATATTTTATACATATTTTATTCCTGTTCCGTGTTCAAAAAAATATAAAAAGTGGTAACTGCTTTGTTGTTAATTTGAGCATCTCCTGCACCTAGCACAGTGCCTGGGACATTATAAATATTTATCAAATATTTGTTCTATGGAATAGAAGTAGGCTAGTAATTTCTTTTTGCTTTCTAACAGCTGATTTTTGACTCAATTATTTGTAAATATGATTTCTACTCAGTTATTTCTAAATAATATGTAAATACTGTGTTTATATTTATTAGCAAGCTGAATTTGTTAAATGAGAAACCTCTCAATATTAAGGACACATCATAAATTATTAGCATGCTGTGTTAAGTGACTAAAAGTAGCATCAACAATTTAGATAAGTATAGTGTGGCCTTATGGATGTAAGTCAATACATCATGCAGCATTGAAGATGTGCAGTTTAGTAGACCTTCTAATAATCTCGGGTGTCTCACTGTTTCTTTTTTCTTTTTCTTTTTCTTTTTTTTTGAGATAGATATCACTTTGTCACCCAGTCTGGAGTACAGTAGCATGATCAGGGCTCACTGTAGCCTTGACCTCCTGGGCTCGAACCTCTCACCTCAGCCCCCTTAATAACTGGGATTACTGGTTTGTGCCACCAAGCCAGGCTAATTTTCTTTTCTTTTCTTTTTTCTTTTTCTTTTCTTTTCTTTCTTTTTTGTAGAGTTTGGGTCTCACTATGTTGCCCAGGCTGGTCTTGAACTCCTGGCCTCAAATGATTCTCCCTCCTTGGCCTCCCAAAGTGTTGAGATTATAGTTTTGAGCCACCGCACCCAGCCTTACTGTTTTTTTCAGTTGTTTCTGAACAACTGGAATCTCAGCTATCTTTTTCCATTAAATCCCGTGTTCATTCCTCCGTACCATGCTGCTGCTTGCCCGTTTTTGCATTTCTCCTTTCTGCTTTCCTGAACATCCTGAGTCGTACTGGGCTGGCATTCCCTTGTTGGGACAGGGGAGAGACTCTAGGCCTTGGATCCTTGTTCTGATTCCTTCTCCAAAGAGTTTTCCCTTTTTCTTCCCCTTTCAAAACAACATAAGTGCAAAAGCTTTGTCAGGATGTCAGGAATTAGAAAAGCTTCAGAAACGTTTTGATTCATTTAACATTACTCTGAAACTTTTTAGAGTAAGAGTACCAAGTCACTGAATAAGACAATCTTGAAATTAAATGATATTTTACAGTTTTGAAAACACCTTCACAGATCTTTTCTTATTAGATTCTCAGAGCAACCTTATGAGTTGGCACTGTCAAAATTCAGTTCAACAAACAAAATCCAACTAACAGAAAAATTCACAGCTAACATCATATTTAATGGTTGAAGACTGAAAGCTTTCCCCCTTAAGATCAAAACAAGACAAAGATGCTCTCGCCACTCCTATTCAACACTCTATTGGTGGTTCTAGGTGGGGCAGTTAGTCAGGAAAAAGAAAAGACATTTATATCAGAAAGAAATAAAACTATATTTACAGATGACATGATCTTATATGTAGAAAAATCCTACAGAATTTACCAAAAACAAAATTGGAACTAATAAATGAATTCAGCAAAGTTGCAAAATACAAGATTATTATCTAAAAATCAGTTGCATTCCTATATGCTAGCTATGGATAATCTGAAAATGAAATAGAAAAAAATCTATTTATAATAACATCAGAAAGAATAAAATACTTATGAATAAAGTTAACCAAAGAAGTGTAAGGTTTGTACACTAAAAAACAGAAAACATGTTGAAGGAAAGTAGAGAGCTAAATAAATTGAAAGACGTCCTGTGTTCATGGCTTGGAAGACTTAATATTGTTAAGATGGCAATGCTACCCAGATTTATCTACAAATTTAATGCAATCTCTGTCACAGTTCAACTGCCTTTTTCCCGAAAATAGACAACCTGATCTTATAATTTGTATGGAATTGTAGAGCCATATTTGCCACAACAATCTTGAAAAAAAAAGAACAAAATTGTAGGACTCGTACTTCCTGATTTCAAAACTTACTGCAAAACTGCAGTAATCCAGATGGCATGTCACTGGCATGAGGAGAGTCATGTAAACCAATGGAATACAATTTAGAGTCCAGAAATAAACCCATACATTTATGGTCAGTTGATTTTGACCAGGGTGCCAAGATCATTAACTGGGGAAAGAATAATCTTTTCAACAAATGTTGCTGGGGCAACTGGATATCTACATGTAAAAAAATGAATTTGGATCCCTGCCTCACATCACATACGAAAATTAACTCAGAATGGATCAAAGACCTAAACCTGTTAAGTTCTTAGAAGGAAACATAGGTGAAAATCTGTATGACCTTGGATTAAATGGTGATTTTTGAAGATATAAAACAAAAACACAAGCAGTGAAAGAAAAACGTAGATAAACTGGACTTCGTTAAAAACTTTCATGCATCAAAGGACACTGTAGAATGAAGACAACTCACAGAATGGGGGAAAATATTTGCAAATTATATCTCTGATAAGTATACATATTTTATATATATTGTTTATATCCCGAATATGCAAAGAACCCTTTCAACTCAACAAAGATAAGACAGTGCAATTTAAAAATGGGCAAAGCATTTGAATAGAATAGACATTTCTCCAGAGAAGATGTACAAATGACTTAGAAGCACATGACAAGATCTTCAACATCATAGTCTGTAGGGAATTACAAATCAAAACCACAGTGAGAGATAACACTTTACATCCTCTAAGATGGTCATACTATTTTTTTTTTTTAAGACAGTAACAAGTTTTGGTAAGGAAGTAGAGAAACTAGAGCCTTCATTGCTGATGGAAATGTAAAATGATGCAGTTACTGCACAAAAGTTTTGCAGTTCCTCAAAAAAACTAAACATAGAATGACTCAGCAATTCTACTCCTGGGTATAGACCCAAGAGAATTGAAAACATATGTTCATACATTAACTTGTACATGCATTAACAAGTGGCATTATTTATTCATAGTTGCCAAAAAGTGGAAGCAACCCAAATGTCCATCAGCGGATGAAATGGTAAGTAAAATGTGGCATATCCATACAATGAAATCTTATCCAGCCATAAAAAGGAATGTAGAAGCCAGGTGCAGTAGCTCTCAAGCGTAATCCTATTGCTTTAGGAGGTCACAATGGGAGGATTGCTTAAGGCCAGGAGTTCAAGACCGGCCTGGGCAACATAGACCCAGTCTCTACAAAATAAATAAATAAATGAAGTAACTATCACATGCTACAACATGAACCTTGAAAACATTGTGCTAAGTGAAAATCCAGTCACAAAGATGACAAATTGTGTGATTCTGCTTACATGAAATGTCCACAATAAGCAAATTCATAGAGACAAAGTAGATTAGTGGTTGAGAAGGAATGAAAGAAGGGATGAATTGAGACTAACTGCAAGTAGGGACAGAGTTTCTTTTTGGGGTGATGGGACTGTTCTGGAATTAGATAGTGGTTATGGTTGTACAACATAATGAATATACTAAAAACCATTCAAAGGCTGAGTGCAGTGGCTCATGCCTGTAATCCCAACACTTTGGGAGACCCAGGTGGGAAGATTGCTTGAGGCCAGGAAGTCAAGACCAGCCTGGGCAACACAGGAAGACCCTGTTTCTAAAAAAAAAAAATAAATAAAATAAAATTTAATTACCTGAGTATGGTGGTGTGTGTCTGTAGTCCCAGCTACTTTGGAGGCTGAGGTGGGAAGATCACTTGAGCCTAGGAATTTGAGGTTACAGTGAGCTGTGATTGTGCCACTGGGCTCCAGCCTGAGTGATAGAGCATGACCCTGTCTCTCAAAACAAAACTCTCCAAAAAACAAAAACCACCCAAGTATACGTTTTAAATGATTAATTTTATATTATATGAAATATATCAGCCGGGCGCAGTGGCTCACGCCTGTAATCCCAGCACTTTGGGAGGCCGAGGTGGGCGGATCATGAGGTCAGGAGATTGAGACCATGCTGGCTAACATGGTGAAACCCCGTCTCTACTAAAAATACAAAAAATTAGCCAGGGCGTGGTGGCACATGCCTGTAGTCTCAGCTATTTGGGAGGTTGATGCAGGAGAATTGCTTGAATCTGGGAGGCAGAGGTTACAGTAAGCCGAGATCGCGCCACTGCACTCCAGCCTGGGCAACAGAGTGAGACTCTGTCTTTTAAAAAAAAAAAATATATATATATATATGTGTGTGTGTGTGTGTGTCAAAAATGGCAATGAGAACTCCATTAACATTTATTGTATAATCCCTGAGTGGTGCAGGAGAATCAGAGCTTAGAATCTTGTGAGGAAGGCATGGTACTTAAATAAGTCTAATGTAAGGCAGCTTGTAATAAGTAGTACAAAGACAGCTGAAAAAGCACAAAGGAGATATTCAATCTTACTAGGAACCAGGGAGTTTCATAAACTTGGCTTTGCAAGGTGGGAAAGATTTTCACAGGTGGAAGGGGTTTGAAATAGGGAATTCAGTCAAAAGGAATAGTGTGAGTGAAGGAATGGAGTTTGGAATGTGAGGTACATGGGGTTAGGGTGGGGTGTTGAGGTAGATGACGCAGAAAAATAAAGATGAATCTTGCATAGGTGACTGTGAGTAGCATACTAAGGAGTTTGGGCTTTATTACTTAGGAATCATATTTTTAGTCTCAGGTCATGTCTGCTGGCGAAGGGAAGGCTGAGTTGGAGGAGAACAAAAGTTAGAACCAGGGACACCGGTTATTACCATTGCAGTTTTTTAGGAGAGGTGATATAGCTGAACTAGGTTATGGTTGTGAGACTGGAAGGGAGGCACATCCGAGTGAGTGCAGTAGACTTAGTAGACTCTTGGTTGTTTATGTGTGCATTCTGGGGATAGGCAGTGAAGGGAAGAATGACCCTGAAATCTTGAATTTAATGACTTGAAACGATAATGATGATATTAACAGAAGAGGAACACAGCAAGACAAACAAATGAAAAAGTGAATACTGAGGAGAAGGAGGTACCACTGTATTTGGCATTTAGTCATTGGTGATTTTGAAGACAGCAATTACAGTAAAGTGGCTGCTGGAAAGGATATCAGAGAATGGTTGAAGAAGATAGCCATAGGATGAGAACATGGAAGGCAAGGAAGGAGACTTGAAAGGTTTGGTAATAAAGAGAAGAAAGAAAAGATTGCTAGTTTGAAGTGAGTTAAAAGAATTAGAGAGTAGAATTAAAATAGAATTATGGGATTTTTACTTTTTTAGTGACCCGTGAGAGGCTTACTGGCAGTGTGCCAAGATTCAAGAGAGCAAAGATTGGGCAGGGTGGTAGTGATGGGATAGCCGGGCGTGGTAGCTTACGCCTGTAATTCCAGCATTTTGGGAGGCTGAGGTGGGCGGATCACTTGAGGTCAGGAATTCGAGACCAGCCTGGCCAACATGGTGAAACCTGTCTCTACAAAAAATACAAAAATTAGCCGGGTGTGGTGGCGGTTGCCTGTAATCCCAGATACTTTGGAGGCTGAGGCAGGTGAATTGTTTGAACTTGGGAGGTGAGGTTGCAGTGTGCCAAGATCGAGCCACTGCACTAACTCCAGCGTGGGTGACAGAGTGAGACTCCATCTCAAAGAAAAAGACAGGGGAGGGAGCCTTCTGCCTCTTTAAACATTTGAGATGCATGTCCTGAGATGCTTCTGTGAAGTTAAGAATATTAATTTTTTGATACGAATCTGACAAAACTAGACATCAAAATATGCCATATATGGTAGTTAAAACAATGTAGTACTAGTACAGAAATCAGATAGTTAATGAAGTAAAACAACCAACCTAGAAATAGAAGCAGATATACCTGAAAACTTCACATATGAGATTTAAAATCAGTGTGGAAAGCTGGAAATCACCCATAGTTTCATTTTACAGTCAGTTATTTTTCACGTTTTGGTGTGTTTCCATTTAGTTGGTTTGCTATACTTTAAAAAAAAATGATGCTGTAGGCTGAGCGTGGTGGCTAACACTTGTAGTCTCAGCACTTTCGGAGGCTGAAGCAGGCGGATCACATGAGGTCAGGAGTTCGGAACCAGCCTGGCCAACCTGATGAAACTCCATCTCTACAAAAATTACAAAAATTAGCCTGGCGTGGTGGCGCTTGCCTGTAGTCTCAGCTACTCGGGAGACTGAGGTGGGAAGATGGCTTGAGCAAGGGAAGCAATGGTTGCAGTGAGCTGAGATGGCGCCCCTGCACTCCAGCCTGGGTGATAGAGCCAGACCTTGCCTCACACACATACACCAAAAAAAACTGTAAAGTAAAATTTCTATATACAATTCTGTGATATGAACCCTACGTCAGTGCGTTACAAGAATTTTGATCCTTATATGATATATATAATCAAGTGCAGGTATGTTGTAGTTTACAGAACCATTACTTTGAAACAGGACCTTTAGGTTGCTCCTAATTCATCACTGTTAAAATAATGCTGTAGGGAACAAATTATACATAAAAGTTTTCTATATTTGAAATGATTTTTGTGAGACAAACTTTATTTATTGTAAAAACAGTTCCAGCAGTTCAGAATTGTGAAGAGTGAAGGTGTTTCCTTCACATCTTCTTGTCTTTCTCCTTGGTGGTAACCACTGTTAACAGTTTAGTGTGTGTCTTTTTAAGTTTAGTTTTTATTTTTTTGTAGAGACAGGGTCCTGCTTTGTTGCCCAGGCTGGGGTGCTGTGGTGTGATCATAGCTCACTGCAACCTCATACTCCTGGGCTCAAGCAATCCTCGCACTTCAGCCTCCCAAGTAGTTGGGACTACCGGCATGTGCCACCATGCCCGGCTAATTTATATACCTTTTGTAGAGACAGGGTCTCACCATGTTGCCCAGGCTGGTCTGGAACTCCTGGAATCAAGCGATGCCCCTGCCTTGGCCTCCCAAAGTGTTGGGATTACAGGCATGAGCCACTGCACCTGGACTAGTTTCTTTTGAATTTCTGAGTCGTATTCAATTGTATGGCTCTCCTATAATTTCTTCATTCATCTTTTGGTAGACATTTGTGTTGTTTCCATTTTTAGGCTATTATGAGTACAGCTGTTGTGAACATTTGTGTGCGTGTCTTTGTGTGGATGTATTTTCATTTCTTTCAACTAAAAACCTAGGGGTGCACTTGTTGGGTCACATTAACTTTGTAGAAACTGTGTTGCATCTTTGCCAGTATTGAATGTTGTCAGCCTTTTATATTTTTCTTTGCATGCTTTTCCCCCCAAAAGACCAAAATGGGAATTGTTCTTCTTTTCATTATAAACTTGTAAAGGAATTCTAAAGTTCTAAGGGATGCCAGGCAGGAGGTTCATCTATGTGAACAGTTATTAGTTTGAGATAGAGAATGTCAAGGATATCCCTAAAGGCTCTTCAAGAAATAACTACAGGACATGTAAGTTTAACTTATTTCTACCCCATCACTTCTAGTCCCACGTGACTTCAGAATTTTAAGAGAAGTTATTGTTATAGGAATATGTAGCACAGAGGGATTCCATAGGCCTGAAGATTAGTACTGATGGCCTTCCTTGCGCTATTCTAGGCCAGTACTATCCGATGAAATTTTCTGCAGTGATCTAGCCGCATGTGGCTCTTGAAACGTAGGGCTAATGCAACTGAAGAATTGAATTTAACTAAATTAATTTTAATAGTGAAATATGTGTAGTGATTTCTTTGCTGAACAGTGTAGTTCTGAAATAGTTATTTTTCAGGAAAGATCCTCTAACAAGAAATAGTTGAGTGAGACATGTTAGCTGAGCTGGCCCTGGGGCAGGTTTGTGTTTTCAGTCCTTCCCTTTCCTGTGACAGAAGTGAAACCAAAGCCTAGAGCACCACAGAGGAAGAACCAGTGGATTCATAAGGGTGACAGTTCAGGTAGAGGAAGCTCTTTTGTTCAGATGCCACACTCTTTGTTTTTCTTTCTGTTTATTTTGCCCTATTAAATTATTTGGTAAAGAGTAAAGCCTACTTTAATCCAGTTTTTTAAGTGGACCTTTGGACAAAAGTATGTGATTTAAATTCCAAAACTGTGCAAT